AATCTTTTCTTACTTCAAAACAGTCGTGCTTTCTTATTTTTAAAGCGAAACAGCTGTTACTCAACAGAATTCAGACGTCTACCTCAGGACTTAAAGGATACTGAATACTGACACATATTCTAACTCATCTGTCCAGTAGATCTGAAGCTATAAAAACGTCGAGGGGGCCAACTTTATATTGCCTGGTCTCCTGATTAATTGTAAAATATACTATCATGACCGTATACAATATAAGGTCACGTGGTCTAAATAAATAAACATTTAAACCTTTATTTATTATAATACTGAACTATAAAAGCAATTTTAATTTATATGACTCAGGGAAACAGAAAAAAATACTATTATTAGTGTGTTAAAATTTCGATTTTGTTTTTAACTTATCTAATTTATGATACATAAACAAATACAATGTAAAGTTGAATAGAATAAAAAATGATTCAATTTAAATAATTTCGATACGACAATCCGAATTACCCATGATAATTTTCAATGAATCATGTCCGACAAGTGAATAATGCTGGTCACATTTTGCACTATTTTCCACTATAAAGTAATTATTAATTGGGAAAATTACCCTTTTAATGTCTTTTTCACAGATAATACAGCCAATTTCAATGTCGAGCTCAACAATTTGTTACCATTTAATTTATTTTTAATCAATTTAAATCGAAATGTTTTTTTGGCATAATATTTGAATTTCAATTAGCTAGTAGATGGGCACGGGTTTATTTTATTTTAAAGACAACACTGCCAAATCTCATATGAACATCATAGGAAACATTTGGATATTCTATGTCGCAATCCTAAAAACCGAAACGCATGATACATTTGCATCAGTCGTAGTCAACGCAAGCAAGGTGTATCCATTAGATCCAATAACTCTTGCATTAGCCGCCTTCAGATTAACACTAGAAACAGGCTTAGGGACTTTGGTGTCTACTCGTCGGATTAGACTAAGAGTTAATCTAATATGTACATCAGTCTGTTGAGTTTCTCGCCGGATCTTCTCAGCAGGTCGCGATTCCGATTCGGTAGTAGATGTATTCGGGAAGCAACTGCCCTTGAACTCTTAGGTCTTCTTTGGAGGCGCTCGGGCAACTGTTAGCAAATCAGCTCCTGGCTGAGCATTTGCTCGCCCATCTGTCCTGGTGAAAATATAAAGACCATCGGACCACTAGTAATCCTTATTTCCTACAAAAAAGTAGTCAGCTGTAAGGTTTGATATTATATCATTAAAATACGTGCTTGGATCCATGGTGTTTTATTGTTACTAGTGGTCCCGCAGTAGTTGAAATTCGACTATAATTAATTGAAATTATAAGTTTAAACATTATTATGGTTCTATTGTCAAACACTATGATACTTCTATTATATAATCACAGATTTCACCAAAACTACACTATATATAAATAATATTAAAGAAAAACAATATTAATCTATTATCAATTTGACTACAGACTTTAAATGGTAACAAAAGTTTAACAATTGACAATAAACAAAGAATATATTTATATTTATGTGTTTTGTCAAAATATAGTAGTGTGTAATGTTTAATGTTATTGATTTAACGTATTTCATATGAATAATTAAAAAAAAATTAACATTCTGCACTCTCTCTCTATATTCCTCTATAAGTGTGGGCAATTTCATACTCCTCCGTTCGCACAATTTTCGTAAAAAGGGGTACAAAGTTTTTACTTCCCGTATTAATATATAGATTAATTTTAATCAGGCTTTCATGTTATCTTTTAATATTATTTGTTTTACAACAAACAACCAGTCTACAATATGCTTCGCCGTCATTATTTTTCAACTGACAAACACAGATGTCATATTCGGATAACGTTTCGTTATTACAGTAGCAAATAATGGAACTTACCTGCTCAGTCTTATAATACGTGCTCGTTTGTTGCCCCATTGTCTGATCAAACTCGAATCTCATCGTTCAGAATGTAGACAAAGCCGGTAGGTGCCAGGGATAGACTTGGTATTAATTTATTTCTTCATCACTCAACCAAGGCATAAAATCGAGGCATAAAACGAAGGCATAAAAAATTGAAGTCGTCGTGGCCTAAAGGATAAGACGTTCGGTGCATTCGTATATAGCGATGCACCAGTGTTCGAATCCCGCAGGCGGGTACAAATTTTTCCAATGAAATACTTACTTGATCAAAGCATTTAAAAAAAAATCGCGTATATTGCACGAGTGCCGTAGCCAGACCAGCCAATCCAGACGTTTGAATGTTGTATGGTCTTCCGTAAAACATACTGTTCTTCTGCTGCTTAAGGTCTCGTAGTTCATAAAGTCTTCCCTAGGACGTTCCTTTCGATCTAAATTAAGCCCCCTAAATAAGGAACGTATATATTATAATTGATAATAATTAGAATAACAAGCGCTACGTTTCAAATCCTTTTAGCTTTACAAATTTGAAACATGAATTTTATATTAGAATTCAATAGTTTTCATTTGCTTAACCTTAACCTAACCAAATAAAGGGATAGTCGAATACCCACCTAGAGAATTTTCGAATGTAAGTAGCGTGCGGTGAATATTAGAGGGTACAAATACCATGTCAACCTTACTGAAGGAGCTTAATACGATCGAATAGGTAGGCCAGGTAATCCAGCTTAAGGGAAAGGATTACGTGTAAAAGCCTAATGCTGCGTACGCTAAAACCTTCGCTATTTGATCCCTTTGAGTCTTAGTTCACTTGAAAATTATTGTACGACCCACAATAGGAGACATTTATAGCTGGAGGTAATTTGTTAGAGGTAGTTGGGTACTCAAGAATTGTTCAATTATTGCTCTAGTTAATATGCTAGATATCCTATTTAATTAAAAAGGAACCCACAGACATAGCTCACTAGGTTTCTTGCCAGATCTTCTCAGTGGGTGGCGTTTCCGATCCGGTGGTAAATTTTGCGAAGCATTGCTCTTGCTAGGGTTAGTGTTAGCAACGTCGTCAGCTTTGAGCCTCGTGAGCTCACCTACTTGTTAGATTACGCTGACATAGCCTCTAAAGGCTTATCAGCATAGCTAAAAAAAAATAAGATCAAAGGAATTTTGTTGAGACTGAAATAAATTATTTCATGAATTACTGGGTGTGTTGTGAGCCAGCACATGTGGATATCACCACTCTTCCTATATCTTGTGTGGAACAGTAATGCGTTTTGGTTTGGAGGGGGGCTTAGTTGTTGTACTATAAAACTCATGTCTCAAGGTGGGTGGCGGCATTAACGTTGGTGGTTTCTATGAGCTTCAACCACTAACACCAGGTAGGCCATAAGCTCGTAGCTCGTCCAATATTCTAAGAAATGAAAAAACAGGTTTTTTATTATATTGCTTCGATGTGTGGACGAGCTCATAGTCCACCTGGTGTTAAGTGGTTACTGGAGCCCACAGACATGTATAACGTAAATGCGCCACCCACCTTGAGATATCAGTTCTAAGGTCTCAGTATAGTTACACGCTTCACGGCTGAAATAAGAAGGGTGGTGGTACCTACCCGTGCGGTCTCACAAGAGGTCCTACCACTAGTAATAGAATACTACAATAGGATAAATGGTTAATACGATAGGACCATAGTAATAGCATAATAGGAACCAATAGGAAGTGACTTGTGTGCCCTGGTCGATATCTATGAATTAAAGTGACAGCTCGTCATCATTTGGGTGCTTAGATGCGTTCCGGTGTCTCCAAACATGATAAAGCTTATAGAGTCGATGAGCTCTAGTAAACGAATCCCTAAGCTATCTGTTCTTCTACATAAAGAAGTAAAGCATTTTTCAATTAGCGCGATGTAAATATTACAGAACTATGTTATGCTGCAAAAAGAGGAAAAATTTGTTGTGAATTTGTTCTACCGCCTTAAAAGACGGAGTTTGTTATTAATGCAGGAAACGATAGGGAGACTCGGCACGCGGCGAACGTAAGAAACTTTGTTACTGTATACGGGAATCAATATCTATTTGCAATCTCAGTTCGTGCGTGTTGCTGTTATGAAATATTTCTATATTGTTATGCAACGTTGTTTGTTTTGCATTCGCTTTAGGGGAATCTAAGCTGACTCATATGGACTCAAGGACAGAAAGAGAAAAACCGCGTTTAGAGGGCGTCCTCGTTGAAGTCGGCCTGAAATAGAAATTTCGATTAAGTTTTATAGTGATTTCATATTATATTTAAAGGTATATATCTAGTAAGTATTTTCTTTAATAATGTATTATTAATAATACACCGCAACATACCTGCTGTGTCTTTATCTGTACAAACATATCTGCTTGTGGATTTCTTTCTCTCTCCTTTCTCTCTCTCTCCTCTCTCTCTCTCTTTCTTCTCTCTCTCTCTCTTTCCTCTCTCTCTCTCTTTCCTCTCTCTCTCTCTTATTCAAATAAATTGAAAAAATTTATTTTAAATTGTTAATTTCTTTTACATTCTAAAAGCTTATTCTTAATTTACTATTAAGTTGAGGGTTCATAATAACTTTATTATGAAGATTACGTCATGTCGTGAAAATTAGACTCAGGAACGATCAGATTATCTTTTACTTCACGACTTGCAGTCGAATGCAATCAATGAACAACATTTAAATTCGTTGTCTCTCTCCAAAGTGAGCGTTCAAATCTAACGGTCTTTTAAATTTTTATTATAGCTGTCTACGACACACTATTATGTAACTATAAAATAATACGTACTTAGAGTAATCTTTTCTGGAAAACGCTTCTTTGAAATATGCGTAAGGCGTTGCTTAATCTCCGATTTCACTGCACGCGAATAAGTTTTAGAAGCCTTTGTAGCGGCCTTACCTTTTACAAGAATTCTAATATATACTCACGTTTGTATTGCTGCTAAGATTAATGTACAATTTGACGCTGCGTCTTTGCCGGTTTAGTTGCAAGGAGACACCAACACGGCGGCTGACAAGCCATTGTTTGCAAATCGAAACACGACGCTTTCGACTCCAACGCGTATCTTAAAAAAACAGAGACGGAAAATACCAAAAATGGTTAGCGTGAGTAGACAGAAGAAAGATAAAACGAACAAAAAAAAGTTCTCTAATTGAATTTTTGTTCTGAAATTATTGAGAATGATTTCTTTTCAATGATGTCATTTGAATATAAATAAAAAAAAACGAAAATAGCTCTACGTTTGTATTATCTATGTGATTACAACTTTGTTTTTATTGCAATAATTCATATTACTAGTGATGAATTCCATAATTGCTACGCGGCAGTAATATGTTTTTTAAATAGGCTGTTACCTACCGTGTATGCTCAAGATACGTCATACCACTAGTGTTTTTGCAAATATTTTCTAGATTTTTATTTGTATATCATTTATAACTTTTTTTTTTTTTTTTTTTTTTTTGTCAGGAGGAAATCGCCAGACTCCCACCCTCCACTGGGGATGGAGGGTGGGGCATGTCGGAGTCGAACCGATAACTAGATCATATTGATAATAACATTAGAATTGTCGTAAGAAAATATACAGCCAGCCTGTATTTACAAGGAAGAAATGAGAGAATTTTCCACAAAAGCTGTCGGTGTTTCCGTACGGGATAAACGAGGAATATAACGTTCATTGTCCCAGGAAATCAGCGCCGACAATCTTCCCGGGATTCTTATCCCGTACAGCCAGATCGGATCCGTCGTGCCGCCGTCGGCCGGACATCCCACGACGTCTGCCAGGATTATCAACACGTCTTACCTACAAGTCGCTTTTTCTTTATTTGTTTTCCCTATCTAAATCTACTTTACAATAGAGCCTGAAATGACACTTAGGAAATTTATTGTGGCAATAATAATTAAAAAAAACTGCTATTAGGATAAATATTTTAATGGTCCATTAAACTCTGTAAATGAGCGTAATCATGACTTGTTCACTCAAATACTGTTTTTTCGAAAACGGAGCTAGATGTTGAATGTGAGAGATGGTGGTAGGACCTCTTGTGAGTCCGCACGGGTAGGTACCACCACCCTGCCTATTTTCAGCCGTGAAGCAGTAATGCGTTTCGGTTTGAAGGGTAGGGCAGCCGTTATAACTATACAGATACCCTTAGAACTCATATCACAAGGTGGGTGGCGCATTTACGTTGTAAATGTCTATGGGCTCCAGTAACCACTTAACACCAGGTGGGCTGTGAGCTCATCCAACCATCGAAGCAATAAAAAAAAAGAATGTTGAGAAGTTTTGTTTATAACACTCAAAACACGATGAAATACACTGTCCGTTTCGTTTTTAGTATATTTTACAAAAGTTGGTGACGTTTGAATTACGTATATGTATGTCTTATGTCGCTCGGAATGTTGTGTCCTTAATTGATTTAACATGTCCGTCGCTTACCGTCAGCGGTGAGCGCTAACAAAAACACCGCGGCTCACCGTACTTCTGTATGAGCGCCGTGCTACCGATCAAATTGTTTGCTTTCCTGAGTATCGTGCCCGTTGATACGGTTTCGTACGTGCTTCTACGGCGGCCCCTTTGTCACTTTGTCGAGCGTTTCGGGTAGGTACGCGGACGTGTTTTTTGGTACGAAACAATGACACACAAACCTAATAAGTCGGACGGACTTGAATGGTTTTCTGATTACATAAATCTTCATTGCCACCGATTTACAGGCAAAGCGATGTTCGTTTTACATTCAATTCGTATTTTTTAAAGCGACGACTATAAAATTATGTTGGTGTCATAATGTTTTAAGGTTCATCTTGTAACTTTTCAAAAAAGATTTAAAAAATTACGAAAATACATTGATGTTTTTTTTTATTGCTAAGAGAGGTGGACTAGCTCACAGCCCATCTGGTGTTTATTGGTTACTGGAGCCCATAGACATCTACAACGTAAATGCGCCACCCACCTTGAGATATACGTTCTAAGGTCTCAAGTATAGTTACAACGGCTGCCCCACCCTTCAAACCGAAACTCATTACTGCTTCACGGCAGAAATAGGCAGGGTGGTGGTACCTACCCGTGCGGACTCACAAGAGGTTATACCACCAGTATTCAATTAAAGCAAGTCATTATCGCCGTTAATCGCCAACGCGTATAGCTAGAAAGAGCTATAAATAAATCATCCTGGGACTGTTTGTTAATCGCGTCCGAGAGGAGTTGTCGGATGGTCCAGTGAGTAGTTGGCGCAAATTAGCGAGTGCGCTCCACGATAGAGTCAGCGTAAACAGTACGTACCCGACACGAACCGTAAACTTTTTATGGAAATGTTTTCGGAAAACCTTTTCTTACGCAATAAAACGATCAAGCGAAATAACAATAACTTAGAAAATATATTGGCACGTTCGTTGTGAATGTGACAATAAAAGTTTTAGTGTAGGTGTCATAAGGTCAATAAAATTGAGTGTTAGACATGTCTTGAACTAATAATATTGGGTAGGAAATAATAGGAAAACCTTATTTATGAAATAATTGATTTTATCGAACTGATCGATAGTTTTGGATTATTTAGAGAAAATGATTTTCTTTTTTTATTGGCCCTGTATATAGACGAGCTTAGTGCCCACTTGTTGGTAAGTCATCGTCGTTAATGTATATCAGCAATACCAGGATCACAGCCGAGCCATGGTTACTGCTGGTAAACCGTTTTCAGTGTAAACTTAGAATGAATATAATTTAGGGTAATACCCCGATTTATGATTAACATAAACGCTTATGGCTTGAGCCATTGATTACGGTTCAAGTCGCGTGGCTGCGCATCTTTCGTTCTAATTATCAGCTCCCGACCCGCAAAGCTTTGCGATGTACAAACTCTAACAGTCCTCCATTTTCTGAAAAGGACAGCTCTGCATAAATTTTGTGTTAATCTATGAATATCTGTTCATCGAATATTTGTCTTCAAGAATTTTCCAAATGCATGCTTTAAAATAAAATCTTAGTTAAGTATCTATCATACATAATACAAATCTCAATATGTTTTTTTTGTGACTATTAAAACTGAGCCAAGTTTTGGGTGGTAGGACCTCTTGTGAGTCCACACGGGTAGGTACCACCACCCTGCCTGCTTCTGCCGTGAAGCAGTAATGCGTTTCGGTTTGAAGGGTGGGGCAGCCGTTGTAACTATACTGAGACCTTAGAACTTATATCTCTAGGTGGGTGGCGCCTTTACGTTGTAGATATCTATGGGCTCCAGTAACCACTTAACATCAGGAGAACTGTGAGCTCGTCCACCCATCTAAGCATTAAAAAAAAAGAACACACTGTAATGAAGTTAAAACTGAATCTTAGAGTATCTGCAGTGCTATGGTCGAATACCAGTTTCTTAAAGTTCGAACATAGCGTTATCACTATCCTCCTTTATCGGTCCGCTACGCAGCGAAACCGGGCTCTTGACTAATGTCTCCTTTTGTGTCTGCGGGCCGGTTTAATCAGTTGTTTATATTATTGCCGGCTACCGGGCGATTTAAACGTTCGTTTACCGTTTCTTCATTGTATCACGCTGAATTGAAGCTCGTTTTCTGCCATCCCTGCTCACGTTGAACAGGGAATTTATTGTGTGGGCAACGCACACGCACGTCCATGATATTTGTTTAGGATTAAGAGATTCAGCTCTGCCGCGACTTAAACGATAAACAAAAGCTGCGTCGTCGCCGCAAACTGTTGTTTGTTTAATTGTACATGTGTGATAACACGCTGACGGCTCCCGGTTCAAGGGTTTTGGAGTTTGGGGCCGCTTAAAATGTTATGTCAGTTTAGTCGTAAAGTGTAGAAAACTGCCTCCGCGGTACACTGATTAAGAGCCGAACGAATAAATTAGTAACCTTTATATTCGGTCGTGTGTAGTTATAGCATCGAGTTGTGTTATGAAATACGTATAATAATATCCATTTTCGACCGCAAAGATAGTGACTATAGATAATTCACTAACACGGAATATTAATAATGCTCATATAAAGATTCCGGGTGTCTAATGGCTTTTGCTCGATATGCGTTCCTTCGGGATTTACTTTGTTAACGACAATATAATCTATATCTATATATATAAAAATGAATTGCTGTTCGTTAGTCTCGCTAAAACTCGAGAACGGCTGAACCGATTTGGCTAATTTTGGTCTGGAATTATTTGTGGAAGTCCAGAGAAGGTTTAAAAGGTAGATAAATATGAAAATGCTCGGAATTAAATAAAAATAACAATTTTGTTTTTCCTTTGACGTGTCCCCCGGCGGACGGATTCCTTTTGTTTGTTTTAAGTTTATTTTATACAAAAGTTTAGGTATTTTATTTATCGATTGAGGCACTACGAAGTCTGCCGGGTCAGCTAGTTTGTGTATAAAAAAAATTGTAAATTAGAGATACTCGTATCAAGATCACCTGAATGCATTACTAAGTTAATCTAATTCAGTCTAGATTATCAATGTCCACTCGTCGGACTCGATGCGATGTACATTCTGCGGCGCACCCGACGAATAGGCATTAAGATAATCGGATGTCCGTCCATTCTTTGGTTAATTAAACACGATACAGCAGTGGACGTTGCGATCGTTTCCATAAATGACCTCAATTAAGCTAATCAACTCCTCGCAGATTTACGTTCATTAAAGCCCCAACAACATCCTTGATGGGAATTTAACGTGACCCGAAGCAATGCCGGTCAACAAGTATTTATTACGTTTCTTCGGTCATATTTTAGCGAAACTAATGTAATTTTGTTGTTTGTTTATACTGTTTTAATGAGTGAACTATGAACGAAACATTAGTCTTATATTAATGTCTCCTTCAGAACGCACAAATTTTTTACGCGCAAAGGAAGGAAGGAAATTTAATGATTCCTGTGCGGGCTCACAATATGTTTTACGACCTATAACATCGATTGTAAGATTAAGGAGAAAATAAGCTCCCTTTCCCATGTTTTCGAAAGGCAAGAGATTGAGAATATGATTAAGAAGAAAATGCGGCTGCTACTGCTGAGATAGGGGATTCTATTATTAATATAGAATAAAATCTAGAAATAAAAATACGGTTTTAAAAAAGAAAAATAATATCTAAACCGATCGTAAGTTTCTTCAGAATCAGAGCCTTCCTGACAGAACAATCCGATTGCACATAAGCGCGAAACGGTTCAACCAAGGAAACACACCGTCACATAATATCGCTACTTTATCGAACTAGTTTCCGAGTACGTGTGTCGCACCCACGTTCTCTAATTCTGTTCATTGAATTCAAATTGAAGAGTGAAACGTTCGGGCTTTGGATGGTGTCCGAGCGTGTATCGCAACGGGACGTTTTAGGTAATAACTTAATTCCTCTGGGAGTGAGCATCTGCGCTACATGCAAACTGACCTGTGTCCTGTATTCCTCGCAATAGCTTTATCCTATTATACCGAATGTATTTTTAAACAGGAATCCATTGTTCGAAATTTCGTTGTACATTTTACCCTTCAAATATTAAAGTTTTGATTTGTCAAATCGAGATTAGCGAACTGTCCGGGAAAACATCGTCCGTGAACGTTGTTTGAGTGTTCATTTCTAGTCATGCTTGTTACTAGCTTGCTTTTTTTACTGTTGATAGTAAACATTATGTAACAATATGAGTAGATAAAGACTGTTTAACTGTATTCAGGTTGAAGGTTGACATCGTGATGTCTTATGAATATTAAAAGCGACGCGCTGTTTCGTTGATGTCAAGGTTTGTTCCAATTTAATAAAATATTCGATATCGTGTCCTCGGAAT